AATCAAATTTAAAACCATAAAGAAAAAAATATTTTTTGAGATCCTTTTTTTTTACTGTTGCATTTATTTTTGTTATCCTCCCTCCATCTTTCTGTGGCCCGCCTAGCGCCTCCTGGTGGTCCCCAAGGGAGCCGCAGTCCCCACTTTGTAAAACAAGTTTAGCTCAAAGCTGATTCATTGTTTGGTTAGAATGGCCGAGTCATTCTAAGAATGACTATGGCCCAAAAGCTGTTGTTCTCCATCTGACGATTTTTAAACTAAGAAAAAATAAATTTTCTGTGTTTTACCTATAAAAATGTTAAAACTTCATCAATTCCTTTCAGATTTAACATACAAACCCACTAAAAGCTTTAGATCAGATCAGATTAGATTAGTCCAACTGATGAAGAATGGTCCCATAAACTTTGATATTTCAGGAGAAAGCGTCTGTCAGACCTGCTGCTGCCGACAGCAATGATTTAACATCTCTTGATCTGGGATCAGTCCAGAAGGCCCAAATATTCACTGGCTCTTCTTCAGACACAGCAATCTGCAGGTCACATGGCTGAGCTGGAACAGCTTCACTCAACAAACCCAGCTTTGTTATTGCTGACATGATAATTCAGGTTCAGGCTCTGAACGTTTACCAAAAACAGCACAGGTGGACGTCACCTAACACACCCTGATGGAGAATAAAGTAACAGATGCTTCTCTCAGGTCATTGTTGCCGTCTTTCCACACTAGCATCGTCCTAACGCCCTGGAGCAGGAACTGCTAAACACCTGCTGTTCTTGAGGTTTCACTCTGAAGCTGATCAGTTGATCCTCTTAAATTATATGAAAACTAACCAGATGAACATGGTTTTTCACTCGCTCTGATTGTGTGTGTTTGTTTTTGAAGCTGGATTTGTTGAACATGAAAAGCTGGAAAGATCCAGATGTCTTTTACGTTCTACAACTCAAAGGATTTTAACTTAATGAGTACACAATGTTGCACAGTTTAATGGAAAAAGAGTCACAGGGAGAGGAAACAGCGCTGACATGTGGCTTTCATTTTTCATTAGCTGACAACCCTCAAAACAAAATAAGTCAAGTTTATTTGCATAACACATTACAGGATCACAGCAGTTCAAAGTGAAAAACATAAAAACATTGTTCAGTTATCAGTTATAAAACAAGCAAATGTCATAAAATGATATATGACAAGTTGTCATATATCATCTGACTCTTCAAGCAAATACACATCAAATGTGTTGAAGCAGCTCTGAACAGGCGGGTTTTAGTCTTGATTTACTCAGTGTCTTTAACTTATTTTGGTGCTAAGCTGTTCAGTGATTTACAAACTAACAGAAGCATTTTAAAGTCAATTATCTAGATCTTGCTGGAACTTTAGTCTTTTGATCTTGGAAATGTTCTTCAGGTGATAGAACTGTCTTCATGTAACTCAGAGTTCGTCACCCAGATTTCATCCCTGGCCTCCAGTTCCTAGCTGTAATAACTGAAAATAAGTATTTCTGTCAATAGAAAGCAACCTTTATTTACTTCCTGAACATTTTCACGCATATTTAATCTTGATCAAATCTATTGATCTATTGATTTGAACAGAAATCATAGGATATTTTTCTTGCTACAGAGTTGAGTCCCTGCAGTGGTTGGTGTGTTCATGGTTTTCACAGTGCTGTAAATACCAGAACACACACACACAGAAAATCCTAATATTTGCACCATATTAGGACTTTGTAATGATCTCCATTCATTGTGTTTGTTACTGGTTTTTCAGTTGTAGACTGTATGATGTTTTTATGATTTGTTATTCTCATGTTTTTATGATGCAACAGATTTGAACTGCCTTGCTGCTGAAATATTTAATATAAATAAACTTATTTTCTTGATTGATTGAACAAATTGCAACAAACAAGCAAATGAGTATGTGTTGTACACAGAGGAATACAACACTTACATAAATAAACTGCCAGAGGTGTTCAACAAAAACACAACATATGTGAATTTACTGCTTGAGCCTTAGCTTTAGTTAAATACTGTGTTGGTGTTGAGTTTTAGCATTAGCTAAGTTAAATATTGTGTTGATATCGTACTTAGTGGAGCCAATGTATATGATTACTGCTTTACGGTTAGCGCAGTTACTTGTTTAGTGAGTGGTGACCACTACTGCCTAAACCTAAATCACTCCCGAGTCTAACCATTGCTCATCTATTCCTGATCTTAACCAAAACTTAATTCACACCGCATCTCTCAACCTAACAAGTAGAACTGCAGCGAAAATATCCTCACTTTTCACTGAGACCTCAATTTGTGGGTGAAAGTGGAGGAACTGGTTCTCCATATGGAGCATATGCAAGTACACTCTCACACACACACACACTCACTCACACACACACACACTGATCGATGTGTGCAGGATGTTTTGCTGGTGATGTGTGAATGTTTGAACTTACAGTGATGTAATGAACACAAACACACGCGCTGGGAGGTAAAAGGGTGGGGGTGATGACATCATGGGGTCAGAGGTCAACTCCCTTAACCTCACAGCTGTTCTCTGCTCAGTTTTTAGTGATTTAACATGAAGAGCAGAAATGTTTGAAGGAGTGTCTTGTTTTTCTATGTTTGTATAAACTGTAGCCAACATTACAGTGGTGCAGTAATGAGTTCAACGGTCGCAGTTCTTCTGACTCCCTCTGCATGATTTACTGTTGCTTACACGACATTTTCCAAATAAAAGCTTCAGGTCAGGCCTTCCCATGCAGCCAGAAAGTCACCATAACATGAGAGGGAAGACCTGAGTTGAAACCATATATAAACTGTAACATATCCAAGCAGTTTTCCTCTCTAGATGCATCTCCATTGACCAGGAAATTGTGAAGATAAATTTGCTTAATGGAAATGCCAATTTTGAAAAAATAGTGTTTTTTTTATTAAAGTCTTTGCTTGAACTTGAAGTGGTTCATCAACATTTTGAAACTGCAATGGAAACACTTTGACACTTTTGACAAAGCTGTTGGTTCTCTTCTGTTAATGACTGAAATAACCTGAAACCGGGCCTCATAATAGCACGTTTCTCTGGATGATAAATTGTCATTATGGTGATAATGATCATTTTGTTGCTTTGAGACCATTTTCCAGTAATATAATGGTAATAATGGCCTAACAATCCAAGAAATCATTTGAAAAGATCAATGAACTTTAAAAACTTTGGATCTTAATGGGCATTTAGCACTGGAACCAGAATATGATTTAAGTATCCAAAATAAACCATAAACAATAAATAAAATGAATTATAAAGTATCTGGAAAAAAATTATCCTTTAAAGAGTTTAGTTGAGACCAAAGCAGCGAACTGAAGATTTTTATCATCCAGTTTTTGGTAGAAAGAGAAAAACAAAAATAAATTTTAATGGAAATTATTGTTTGTTTCAGTTTATCGTGCGATTTATTGTTGCTTCTATTGGTCTGCTTAGAGTCACAGTTCTGAAATGGTTTATTGTTTTAAATATGAATCTCTGAAACATGTTCTTTGCAATAATGTTGGAACATGTTTCACTTCATGTTTTGTGTAACATTTTGATAGCTGTATGCTGAGCCAGGATCTTTGTGGGGTCATTAAGTGCCTTTCCAAGTATTTGCCCCCTGGATGTTTTACCCCTTTTATTGTTTTTACAGAAGATAAACTAAATTTGTCTTTTCAAAGAAAAACCCCCCATGTTGCCCTTTATCTGATTTCTTGCTGGAGGTTTTAAACTCCAGAGTTTTCTCCTCCTACGCAGAGCCCAACAGATTGTTTGTGTTTCTGTGATTTTTCTGTGTTCATGATGTCACAGTGCGCCTTTGTTTACCCCGAGCTCGGCTGTTTTCTGGATTTGGGCCTGAAACTCGCTCCAGGCTCAGAGCGTTGATGCGCTCCATCTGTGGTACAGTTCGATAACCGTGTTTACAGCAGGACAAATTCGCTCCGCAACAGCTAACCTGAGCGTAGCAAACACACACACACGCATGCACACACACACCCCTACACACACACACACACACTCTCTGAGTTCATGAAGCACCATAAACATCCAGAGGTTTCCATGAGTTTCCGTCTGATTGGCGTCGATTTGGACTCCAGAGGCTCTCGGCGCAACAATGCAGCCACTTCCTGTGGCGTTGGCTCAAACAGGAAGCAGGAAGTGGCGGCTGGTTCTGTTGGCGCCATCCTCACCTTTCACCTGTTAGTGCTGCGATATGGATGAACTGGGAATGTTGGTGATTACATACTGGGAATTCCAACAAAGCAAAACCACTCTGTTATAATTAAACCTTTTTTTACAGAATTTTTTTTCAAATAATTGAAAAAAAAAAGTCTTACTTAACATTTTATTGTTTGGAGGAGTTTTTGGAAGTTTATAAAAAATTTTGCTTAGAAAATTGAACTTTATCATTTTGCCCATATTTGATTATTAAGATCTGATATTTAAATTATTTCATATATTTTTTTTATATTTCTTTGTAGGTTTAAATTAAGACCACTAATTATTAAATTCTTATTTAATAATTACTTATTTGTTTTTTTATGTTTAAAGTTTGTTAGAAATTAAATGTAATATTTAGCAACATTTACAAAAAAATTCCAAAATTTTTTGCATTTAAATTTTAATAGTAAAAATAATTTCATATTTTTGGAGAAATTCTTGAATATAATTATAAATGTTTTGTCTTTCTGTTGCTTTTAGTGTATATGTGACAAACTAAGAATAATTAGATGGTCTACATTTTTTTTAGTTTCTTTTCATTGAACAGGAACAAACTAATTCAGTTTCCCGCTGATGCTAATGTTTCCGGCTAATGCTAATCTCTGGTTAGCTTCCAGGATTTGAACAAATTTAAAAGCTTAGAGGTTTCAAATATTACCAGTAATTGAATGTTAAATCCTAATGATGCAGTTCAGTGTTGGCTGTGATGTGATCATTGAGCCTGTGTTGGTTCCGACCCAAACGGACTGGAACTGAGCGGAACCTCTGCCCCGCAGTTCTCTGCCCGCTGCTGTGTAAGAACGGCGGCGTGTGCCTGCAGACGGACCGCTGCCTCTGCCCCGCCAACTTCACCGGGAAGTTCTGCCAGATCCCCGCCCCGCCCCCCGGCGCCGCCTCCACCAATGAGATCGTCCAGCCGCCGCCGCCCTCCTCCGCGGCGGCCAATCAGGGGCTGATGCGGTCGGAGTTCCTGCTGCCGCTCGGCCAGACTCGGGCGGCGCCGCCGTCCGCAGGTGAGCCGCCGCACCTTCCGCCGTTCGGATGTTTCTGAGACGTTTGGATGTTTCCAGAGAAACATTTGGTTTGTCTGTGAGTTTCATGTTTCTTTCACCAAACGCAAAGACCCCCGCATGGTAAAGGTCAGAGTTCAGCACCCCCCAGAGGCCAGCGTGAAGATCCACCAGGTGATGCAGGTAAAATCAGTCAGAATCAACTTCCTGCTCGATTTGCTCAAAAAAACAAAAATGTTTTGGTTTCGGATTTTTTATGAATTTCATTGAATTTTGATTTATTTTAGGATTTTCATTTGACTTTCAATTATGTCTTTTTTCCAAATTTTTTCAAATTTATTTTAAATTGTGTAATTTGATTCTATTTTTACTTAATTCTTACTAATATTTCATCCATTCCACTTTTGTTTTTTAAATTTCTTATTTGAATACTTTTTACATTATTTTGTTTTATTTATTTTTTTAAAATAATATTTTAATTTGGTAATTCCTGTATTTTTTCAGTTTGCACTGTGTTGTAAAAATGTAAAATTTCCCGTATTATTAACTTTATATAAAAAGAAATGTAAGTTATTTAATATTTTATTCTAAGGGTCTTTAAAAATTGTTCTAACAGTTTTTATGATTCATTAATATTAATTGACAATATTTATTGTATATATTTTTAATAATTTAGTTTTTTTGTTTTGTTTAATCTCCATTATCTTTGTTCATTTTATTTATTTAATTTCTGTGTAATTTGAACAGAAGCACAGATTTCTTGCCTCCGTGTCGCTCCAGGTGTCCGGGTCCAGTCCGGCCCTGCGGAGCCTCTCCTCCTCCTCCTCTTCCTCCTCCTCCTCCTCTTCCTCCTCCTCTTCCTCCACCTCCTCCTCTTTCCCCACCTCCTCCTCCTCGGGTTTGGCTGGCGCTCCGGCTCCGGTTCCAGCAGGTGGCGCTAGAATCCAGGCCCAGACTCTGAGGGGCGGCGGTACCTACACCCAGCAGTCTGGCTTCAAGTATTGCTTCAGAGAGGTGAAAGACGGACAGGTGAGAGCAGCCAGGTAACAAACCGCTTCCTGTTTGACAGACGGTGAACGTTAGGAAGTCGTGGTGATATTCCGCCAGTTTCCATCCTCCTGGAGCAGACGGTCCCTGCGCTGTGATCGATGTTCGCTGTGTTTGTGTGCTTGCAGTGCAGCTCTCCACTTCCTGGTCTGAGGAGCAGAGAGGTGTGCTGCAGAGGAATCGGGAAGGCCTGGGGTCTCACCGACTGCAGCCTCTGTCCCGAAGCTCCAGGTAGAAACACGGCAAACCGCAGAGTACTAAACGCTCAGCAGTTAGATAAATGCTGACTCATCATTCAGAAACGATTCTGAATGAATCTTTTATTTGTTCGCAGGTCAAAGCAACAGCAGCTGTCCTGCTGGCTTCGAGCGAACCAATAGAACGGAGTGTGTCGGTGAGTTAAACACATACAGAGAGGTCAGAGGTCAGTGGCAGGTGGAAGGCTCCTAAGATGAATTTATCCAGAAGGGGGCGCTAATCCTCCAGTATGAGCAGAAGGTTTTACTTTCCTTTTGTTTTCAGATGTTTTTTTATAGAAACATGGAAAATATTTCTATATTTTTTCTATTCAAGTTGTTTTCCTGGGATTCCTCTCAATCACATCTCCTCCAGTTTTACTAATCAGGAGATTTTAGTCTGCAGAAACGTTCCTGCAGAAACCAGGCCTGGTTTTCAGTTCCCGTCTCTGAGTGTCGGAGTCGTGGAAGAGAAATGCGTCACTCACACGTGTTGGTGTGTGTGTTGTTGTGTGTGTTGGTGTGTGTAGATGTGAATGAGTGCTTGCAGCCGGGGCTGTGTGAGAACGGCATCTGTGTGAACACCAGGGGGAGCTATAGCTGTGTGTGTCGGTTGGGGTTCATCCTTGACGCCACACATGGAATCTGCATCTGTAAGTAACACACACACACACACACACACACACACACACACACACACACACACACACACACACACACACACACACACTCCCTCTCTCCACTGTGGGCTTCCCCAGAGGAATAACACAACTCGGGACTTCCAGAATCCTCCTGAACGCCTCGCCTCCCATCGGGTGGAAGGTGAGGCGTTCAGGTGCTTTCAGTGAATCCCGGCTGCAGTTGCGTCATTCTGACCGGCATTCTCCAGGAGGAGCTCCAGGATGCTGGTCTGGCTGATGGCATCGTCTCTGTTTTCACTTCTAAAAACTTTCATTTTCCTTGTGTTGCTTGAAATCCAAATCTTTTTGCTCCAGTTCCTGAGCGCCCATCTTGTTTGGGGCCCAGAAACGGATCCAGAAGGGATTCAGCTGAGATCCAGGAAGCAGTGAAATCTCGTGACAGAGCCTGGGTTAGCTTAGCACAGCGACACCAAGCCAGGTGACGCCTCTGTGACAGATAAGAGAGCAGTAGGAGAAAGTAATAAACATGCCGCACTAACTGGCATGTTTTCTGCATTAGCCAGGAAGTGCTAATCATAAATGTTAGCTCATTAAATTTAGCACTAGTTAAGAAGTTATACCAACAAAGTGCTTAGTAAGCTAATGCTAAAGCGCTAACTTCAGTCATGTTGATAACCAGCATGCGCTGCATATCGCCCTCAACAGGCACAAATCCGCTACTGCAGGTCAGCCTGCCTGGTTTCGCTGCAGCAAGTTTTGATTTTTCTGGAACAGATTTTTGGTTTTAGTTTATATTTGTTGAGTTTTGTTAACCGAAGCAGGACATGGATTTTAACTGCTTCCTGTACAACTACAGCAATGCATTCTGGGTACAGAATAACATGGGAGAGGAAATGGAACTGCTGAGTAAACAGAACTTCCCATCCATTGTCGTGTCTCAGCCCGGTTCTGGTCTTGCTCGGCCCGGTTCTGGTCTTGTATCTGCCTTTATTCTCTTGTATCTGCCAGGTTCTGGCCAGAGATCAGCATGTTCTGGTTCTGCATGCGGCGCTCTGGCGTCTCGGCCCATTTGGACCGGAATGGGCTCGGTGACGTGTCTCTGTCTGTGTGTCCTTCTCAGCGCAGAGCGTGATTTCAGAGGAGAAGGGCCAGTGCTACCGGGTCCTGGGCTCCAGTCGGGGTCCGTATACCTGCTCCCTGCCCATCGTCCGGAACATCACCAAGCAGATCTGCTGCTGCAGCCGGGTCGGGAAGGCCTGGGGGCCCGACTGCGTGCGCTGCCCCTTCTTTGGTTCAGGTGGGTCGGTTCGGTTCCGGTGGTTCTGTGGAGCTTTTCGTCAGACTTTCTGTTTGTTGGCTCTGTTTGCTCCCAGTGGCCTTTAAGGAGATCTGTCCGGCCGGCCCGGGGTACCATTACTCGGCTTCGACTCTGCAGATCAGCCAAAGAGTGAACGGCGACCCGACGGCCCGAGACGCCCTGCCGGGCCGAGACGCCCTGCCGGGCCGAGACGCCCTGCTAACAGCGCAGGACGCCTCAGGTGAGCATCCGTTATCTGGGTCGGTTCTGCACATGTTGAAGTGTTTCTCTGTGGCGTTTTGAACCAAGAAATCAGATTTAGTTATTTTTACTTTTGGGAAAATTAAATTCAGTTTGAGCAAAAATACTTCAGTTGCAAAATTCTCCCTAAAAACTGATTGTTGCTCTTAATTGATAACCGGTTTGGGGAACACGTTCACTGATCCGACAATCGGACCTCCAGAACTTCTGATGCCGATGATCAATCATTAACGGTCCGGACCTCCTTCTGTCCTGCAGATCCGGGTCAGCAGAGACCCAGTTCATCCGGGTCACCGTCTGGCACCAGAACCGGTGCAGTCCAGTCCCAGATCCAGGTCCCTGCTCAGCCTGGTCTAACTGCCGGTTCCAGACCAACGCCCCCTGCTGGCTCAGCAACCCGGCCTGCTCAGGCCCGACCGGAGGTCCAACATGGCCGACCGGAGGTCCAACATGGCCGACCGGAGGTCCAACATGGCCGACCCGAGGTCCAACATGGCCGACCCGAGGTCCAACATGGCCGACCCGAGATCCAACATGGCCGACCCGAGATCCAACATGGCCGACCGGAGGTCCAACATGGCCGACCGGAGGTCCAACATGGCCGACCAGAGGTCCAACATGGCCGACCCGAGGTCCAACATGGCCGACCGGAGGTCAAACATGGCCGACCCGAGGTCCAACATGGCCGACCCGAGGTCCAACATGGCCGACCGGAGGTCAAACATGGCCGACCGGAGGTCCAACATGGCCGACCCGAGGTCCAACATGGCCGACCCGAGGTCCAACATGGCCGACCCGAGGTCCAACATGGCCGACCAGTGGTCCAAAATGGCCGACTGGACCCGGCTCTAGCGAGGCTGCAGCCGCCGCTGGCGTTCCCGTCCTCTGGATCGCGACCCGACCCGGCGCTGGTTCCAGGAGACTCTCAGCCAATCCCGGCCCCGTCCCAGACCTCAGAGCGAGGGTCCAGACCCGGACCAGAACCACCTGGTCCGGAGAGACGGCCAGCTGCAAGCCCAACCAGCCGGCCCGCCAGAGTCCAGCGTGAGTAGAGCCAGAGCCAGAACTGGGCCAGGCGGTTCTGGTCCGGTTCTGGCTGTGTGTTGGTAAAGGAACCAGATCAGTTTCTGTTAAAACGTCCAAATATAGATAGACAGAATCATATTTGATAGATAGACAGAATCATATTTGATCTGAAATAGATCCATCAGATCAAATATGATTCTGATGAATTTCTGCTCTACAATCTGAAACGTTTCTGAACTTCAAACCCAAAACCAGGTT